TAAAAATAACAATTTTATTGAAATGATTACAGAAACTGAACTGTAGATAAACATTTCACTGACAATTAGAATTTGTTAAAACAGAGGCTTTTAATTAAGTTTTCAGATCTTTCCATTGCTATCAAACAATACTGGCCATAAAAATACTTAATCAAAAAACCGAAAAATAATTGTAAACGTTTGTCCATCACATGTGAATAACGGCTAGGACAACAGTGGACAACCTGAATGTGCTGCTTAAATTACAACTTTCTTTAAAATATTTACGGTATGTCTATATTTTTTCTAAATGGTTATCTATTAGCGATTTAATATGTCTTTTTTGAATAATAAGTAACCTGAGTCCAAAATTTTTAGAATAGTATAAACTAATTCTGTACAAAGCTTACTTTTCTCTCTCTGGAATTTAAGGTTTACAAAAATGATAAATATATATATACCCATCTAACGTACAATTAGGAACAACACACCTAATGGTTCGATGTGCAATATAATAAATTATGATGCAGATAATTTTGCATCGTCCAAATTTTTAGGCGACTGTAACCAACAGTTGTAAATATTACGGAACCACAGCACATCGCATGTTGATCAATGACTAAAGAAAATGCAGATGACCTAGATCTCCACAATTACCACCCAGACTGATCAGCTAGAACGCACGATGGGTAGATAACTATGCGTCTTTCTCACTGAGCGCAACAGTATTACAAATAATCGTATATTGTCCACAAAAATTATCGACATTTTACAATTTATCAATTATAGTTAAACATATGTTCAAAAATGTGAATAATCAAAATTGATGTGTTTTGTGCTACTTGGGGATGTAGCTTTTTCACCACGTTGAAAGTAATTCTAGTACTGCTTGCATTTCACTTGCGACCTGATTTTTACAATGCACTATCAATCCCAAATACTGAATTACATATGCCAAGTTAACTTAGCCATATAACTATAAACAATTCTGTTAACTATGTACACGCACTATACATTTTTTTTAATTGGTAAGAGAAATATATATATATTATTTTAATATCTTAATGTAACACTAACAACTATTCCCAGAAATTTACAAAAAAATGGGGCAATCATTTTTGAGATAATTCATTTAAATAAATCGATTAGCTATAGAACTTTTGGGATATTGTGTGGAAACGATTAAAAAAAAAACAAAATAGACACATTCCTGAAGCACAAGAAATATCTTATCTCAACCAGTATTTTTGAAAAAGACACATACATGTACGTACGTACTCTAAAATTAAACCCAATGCAGTGGCCGGCGTCGCTGACAAAAAAAAATATTGTTTCTGCTTATTTTGAGTGGAACGTTTTCTTTCTATTATAATTTTATGGTTTGAATAAATGGTATTTCTGTATCAGGACATCCTGTATATCTTAAGAGTATCTAACATGTACGAAAAACGCATAAATCTTGTCTTAAAAACTTTAAAGTGTATAATACGTTTATTCTGAGTACAACAAATTATCATACTTCTTATAAACTTCCTTTTAAACTTCCACTTCCTTAGAACGTCATCTTAAGTCATATTTAAGGACAATCAAACTTAGAAACATGCTTTATAATAAAAGAAAACAAAACAACTATTTTTGCTAGAACAAATTTCAACTACATATACCTATGAGTTTAAAACACTTTCTTTTAAATCTCAACAAATAAATAAATAAAAGAGCTACTGGGCCAGATAAAGCGCAGTAATTGTTGCTTTTAATGAAACATATTTTTCAATTAAGAATAACGTAAAATGCATTTTACTTTAAGGCGTTTAGCCAAGTTGTTGTTCACTAGCCAAAAAAAAAACAATTTATTGCAAGCAATTTAATTATTTTAAAACATACCTGACATATTCTACCCAGTACTTCTACGTTAAGCAATTTAGAAAGCTTGTGTTTGCAACAACTTTTCATAAAGATTTTAAAAAGAATTACTTTCATCGTACATGCTGGCGGAAAACCTTACTCAAACATATACATACGTACAATTAATTATAAGCAATTAAAACAGCACTAAAAAATTATGTTTGTATACATATATGACGTAGTATAAAAATTTACAGAACCATAAATGCCACATGCTTCACCTTTTTGATAGTACTACCTCACTGTTTTATCATACATAAGTTTATTAACAAACCTACAGTCAAATAAAAAAAAAACTGCCAATGCACATCTAACTGCAACCAGCACAGCAGAACAGCACTGAAACGAATTAATATTACACAATCCGTTGATTTTTTATTTGTTAAACCTACTGTATGGTTTATTTTGACTAGTTCGAGAAAAATTGTCTACGTATTTGGGAATTGTTGATGGAGGAATTGTCAACGAAACATGACAATACAGAACAACTTGAGTCTATTTTTGATAACTTTTTTAGATTTAAACATTTTTGGTTATCATGACGGTACCACGTATCTATTTTATTATTTTATTATTTCATCTTTCATTCTATACAATATAAGTATCACACTAAAAATACAAAATTTTCTATCATCCAAGAACAGTGGCAATTTGTTGTACCTGTTAAATAAGTATATTAATGACTCTAGAAATTAGAACAGTGGAGAGAGGTTAGACATAAACTGCATAAGCATATACCATTGTCCTATATTTTTCTGATTAATTTTTGAAAGTATCTAGCAGAAAATATTTTGTGATATCTTACGGCAGTTCTTGCCTATTTCGTTGTATACGCCATAAACGCCACAATAACAATACAGACGTTAGAGAATTTCATTCTCATTTTCCCTGACCTTATAAGTTAAATTCCTCATATTTCCTACAACAAAAAAAATAGTCGAAAGGCCCTTTTACTCATCATAAAATTACTCCTCCGAAAATTACTACCAAAATTTGTATATAAAAAATATTCTATACTTGAATGGCAATATGTGCAAGAAATTGCGCAGACGTTCAAAACATGACCATGTGTTTACATAAAATTTTAACACCGAAAAACCCAGTCAGATTCAATATTTCGTTTTATTATTTCCTTAGGTATTTTTATACTTAGAATGCAACTTTTCACCGAATATGAATTTCCTGTTACCAGAACGAAAGAGACTCATCCTTCAGGATCACGAAAACATCTCTATTTTTTTTTTTTCTATAAGCAAATTCCAAATTTTCAGGATAGATCTTTTAAACCAAAAAAAAACTAAAAAAAACAATACTTCGCTTTAGCACTACAAAAACGGTATAAAAAAGAAAAAAATAGTTTTCACAGCTCCACCACTAAATTTTTTGCGTAAAATTATATACATTAATGGCACTTTTACAACAAAATAATTTTCATGAAAACCCAACATTCTCAAGTTCACAACTTGCTATATAAGCTTCACACTTATGAAACGAAAATTTAGAAAGTTTTTATGAAATGTGAATCGTTATATATTTTTTTTAATATACAACGGAAAACAGTAGCTACAGTACAGGATGAAAGAAAACACACAAGACTATTACTAGGAACTAGTGATATAACAACAAACAAACTAGTGATTTCTAGTTTTGACACTTCATTAATATATACTCCTACATAATAATCAGTGTAATCAATCTTTAAAAAATCGCGGTATACCATTGAAACTGTGTGTTTAGTGTAATATGAGTATACATAAAAAATGAATGTTGGTACTATTCTTAATGATTAAAACTATTTAATTTACAATCAATTTAACAACAAACATCTAAAAATGTTGTCTACTTTTATTAAGTATCATTAACTTAAAAATATGTAACAGATCTATATCTCGACACTGCATATAAGAGAGTTAGTTATTCCTTTCCGACATACAAAAAAAACCGTAATTTCTTTCAAAGATAGTGTTTATCGTTCATTGCCAATTATAAGTAAAACATAAATGTATTTTTGATCATCTTTTTTGCATAAACAATAATCTGAAGTGAAAAATAGACTGGGTGAATCAAGAGCAACAAACCACGATAATGCGTCAAAGCTGGCGCACAGAAGGTCATCCGTTTCTTATAAACCTGACACATAATTATAAGACTTTAAAGGCAATTAAATCTTATCATTTATGGCAAAATTTGATTAGGTATTCAATAATTAGGTTCATTCCTAACGTTTTTAAATATTTAATGAAAGTAATAACAACAAATGACAATAAACATGTCGTAATTTTATGCCCCGTTCTTATAAATTTTATTAAACAAATAAAATTTAGTTTGATTGAATTCCGACGCCACCTCTTACTCTCACTTATCAATGCCCAATCAAATTTTGTATCGAATCAACTAATCCTCAGAGTGTATAAATCTTATCTCTGATTCCGGTTTTTATCCAATGAGATTCGTGAAGGTTGTAGGGGTGCATAACAAATGAATGTACAGGTAGGAATCCACTTCTCAACCTGTTGCTTCCACCGGTTGCGCCCTATGAAAGGGTGCGTGCTTTCACATACCGTAAACAATTAGTTTATAAAGCATAGAAATGTGACAACACGTTATTAGCGCTTACCGTCCGCCCACTCAAGTTATAAAAAAAAGCCTTCTATTATTGACAGCTCGACGAAATGACATCATTGTCTGTAATTTGTTGCTACCACATCTAAAAATGGCAAATGACATTATGGCGACCGCTTAAATCGAAAATCTTAGTCGGCCGGTCGTCTCAGAGAGAAACAAAAGGCCAGCGCTGAGCCGGTCTCTGGTGTAGCGATCGACTTTTCTGAGCAGTTACCTACATACCGAGCAGCCAGCGTAATAAAGCCACGCCTGCCGTTCGTGGAGGTTGACCAAGGCAGCAAGGAATTTCTGCGTTTTCATAGTTTTCGGCGAAAATGCTCCCTCGAGCCGCCGCTCGGGCGAACGATCTGGCGGCACGTCTGGGTCAACAGTGCGTCACGGCCTGTCACATGTTCGCGATATGGGCCATATCTCGGCCAAAAACGCGAAAATCGGCCGCGCAAGAGCCCTCGGCGACGCATCGGGGCGAAAATTCAGTCTGGTCAACTCACCTTCGTCCAGAAGACGTTCGACGTGAATGAATACGTTCGGAAAGGCTGCGAGTTGTTTCCTATCTTTGAGTAACTGTGCTAAATAGTCCGCTATGCTCTGCGTCGAGGCATTCGTTGTATCACACATTTTGTTAACAAAATGTCCACGGCAACACGGTTTCTACAAACTTTGTTTACTGGCTGTTATCATGGACTTTTGACACCAACTTTCTCAACGCACTACAAACTTGAACTGAGATGGTAGGAGGTATTTGGTTGAAAGTTGAACGGGAGTCCATGACTGAATGTGCGGCTGCGTACTGAAAAAGTCGCCTCTGCGCAGTTTGGATTGGCCATATAAGGGGCGCACAAGTTTTTCGGATTTAATTTAATCTCTTCTTGGATTATGTTGGTCGAGAGATACCATCGCAAAAAACGAACGCACGGAAATACGCCCTTCGGAGAAGGTTTTTAATTAATTATTTCATAACTTACCCGACATACAATCCAAATCAAATGCTATTATTATGAAATCTTTCTGATGCTGTAGGATGTGCCTCACACCTGTTTCGTCATTAACAAACTTTCCACTATGGTTCAAGAAATCGACGTCTGTCTCAGATTTTCCACATCTGCAAATTAAAAAAGAAAGCAATTGCATATTTACATCGGAAAACATTTTCTTGCAAAAGTGTACTTTTCTAATTATCAAAAATGACCCTTTTTTGTAAACTTCCATTTCAAGTCAAGGGTCCATTACTATTCAAGGTACCGGAATTCCTTGGTAAAAATCAAATATATAGTAGGTATATGTATCATTTTCACGACTACGGACAACAAAGTTTTTAACCCAAAGTTTTGGATTACACGATAATATTATCTACATTCAAGGGATGTGAATTACGTTTGTCAAGAATAAAATTTAACCCAAGTTGTAAATTTGTGTTTAAATTACTTATTTATATAAAAAATTAATCAGCTATACTAAACTGATCAAAATTATCATTGAGGCATAACAGTAATCACTAATCTTTTCAAAAATAAAGACTCCTTTTTTTTATTAAGTAACTTCATACATAGTACTGTTCTATAAACTTCTAATGTAACTACTTGCATAAAAAAAATCGTAAACGCTTTAGCTAAAATAATTTAATTCAGTGAAGGTTGCTAGGTAAAGAATGGAAAAATGCACGATCAAGTCACAAAAAACTTTTCACTTTTCAAAAATTATAACACCAACCACAAAAAAATTGATATTAAGAAACACACATAATTGTACAATGTTCACAGCCCTAAGCTGTAATTCCACTTTTAAGGTCATTTTTTTTTAAATCTCGAAAATACTTTTTGTTACCAGATACCCAGTACTGTGTTATGTTTGTTATTTCTTATATCCAGAATTTAGTACATCTCAGTACATTAACCCTTAGCTGATCGGTTGTACAATAAAGCTTTTCTCTTCTGTTCAAGGACAGTAAGTATGAATTGTAATACTTTTTACTTTCCAAGCGTAAACTCATCATTTCGACGAATGTATAAGTGCATGTTTTCTCGACATTTCATAACTTGTAGAACAAGAAAATATCGATCTCTTGTTTTCATTTGTTTTTCGTTTGTCTATTTTTCGTCGATTAACGATTTTCGTTGAAACAGATCTCCGAAATTATTGAACCGTTTTCGTGTACTTCAACACTATCGTGTAGATGGTAAAACGCTAACCAGAATTTATTTGTTCATCCCCACCAAAAAGTTGATGCTACAAGCACATTCTACAAAGTGAATTTTTTGACGCTGATCTATATGCATAATGTCAAAATATCCCTACTTTAAATTACACATAAAAAAGTATTGTACTTAACAATACATATTTTGAGATGAAGTCACCAAATTTTTATGGGAGACAAGAAGACATGCACATTTTGGTTAGAATTTCACTATGTATGTAAAGATTGTCCAGAATTATATGAATTTTATGGAATCCCAAAGTTAATTTGTTTTACAGCCCTGTTGTCAATTTTATTGCACAGCTGAAGAGCGGGGTGAACTCTATTGAAAATGTAAATAGCCATGCCATAAATCATCTTAAAGGTTTACGGGCCCATACGGCCCTGTGTAGTGTACAGTTGGTCCCTTGATGGTTTATGACCGCTGGATTACTTGCGGGAGAGGCCTATTGTGGAAGACTTAACGCCTTCACAATAGGATGCAGTCATAAAAACGAACCAGCAGTTGGAGCACTATGCTAAATATCCCTCATAAAATAATTGACGGCGTTTGCATTTATCTTTTGCTGGACTTTACACGTAAAATTTAGCATTCAGTCCAGTAGATATAATTGACAGATAGGCGGAAACAGACGACTGGTATTTTAATATTGCACGAGCTCTAAAATGTCAAAAAGAAAAGACGAATTTATCCATTGGCACTATTGGCAGCTTATGTTAAAGAAGTAAAAATTAATGTAATAATTAATATAATGGACGTTTTGGTTACAAAATTAACACTAATCAGATGTTTGTAAAACTCTAGAGAAATTAGATAAGCCGTTCCTAAGATATTCAAGTGTAACAAATTAATCTATACATTAATCTTTAAAATATATGTAATTCCTCGCTCCTACAGCATAGCAAATACCTCATTTATGCATAAGTATTTTAAATAAATAATAATTAATACATTTTTAGGTATGCTATATAATCACTAATCAGTAATCACTTGCTAAAACTAAGCGCATGTTCCTGGTGCAAACATACAAACTCAGAGCACACTTATTAATAAAGTTTTTTTCCCAGATACTTTATATAATGACTACTCTGGAAAACAAGAATGAATACAGATTACTTATTACCTTATTAGTATTCTATTATTTTCTACCTGCTTATCTATTTTGGAATTATGAAAAGTTTCCTTATGTGGTGTTTGAGACAATATGTAAGAGAGGACGTCGTGCTATGTACACTATTGAATAAAATTTGCGAGGTCATGAATTTTTGAAGGGTTTAATACAGGAAAATTTTGGTGCAGGCCATCTGCGAAAATAATGGTTTTACGACTTTGACTCCTTCACCACCCTTGCCAACGAATAATGCAGCATATTAGATGTAAATTTATGACATCACCCTAAATATAGGTGGCAGCTCTTTGTTGTGTTTGGCTGACACGTTTCTTCTAAACCGGACTGTTTAGAGATACTTTCTGCGTAAACTAGGGGTTTGGAAATGCCAAAGTCATAATATCACAATTTTTTATCTAATATTGGTTTAGTGATTACTGGATTGCAGATTATTAATAATTTTTTTATTAATTTCTTTCTGAAAAATGTTGTTATTTTACAATTTTATGCAATAAATCTTACTGAAATGTATAGAATGATTAGAATGATGTGCTCCTTTATTTGTGATTTATTGATCCACTCTTACTTTTAACTTTAGACATATGAATATATGTAAAAATGTTAAAAACTGTACAAAAAAGTTTGCAGTTTGCCGTATAAAACACTTAAGGAACATCGTTGAAACCTTAATAAATCATTAAGTCTTATGATTATGACTAAACAAATTTTAATAGAATTATTATTAGAAAAAGACAAAGATATAAAAATACGGCAGGACAAAAATATGTTAGTTATTATTTAGTTACAATTATTGTGTAGTAGTGGAAAATACGAGTGAGAGACCTAATTTTTAAAGCCCTCCATAGGATTACCATAAAAGTATGAACTATTAACTATAACTGTAGGTAACTATAACTATTGGAAATTTACATCTTTTACAGTCTATGACCACATTTATAACAAGAGTTTGAAATTTTAGGTATACACGGTGGTCCAATTAAAAGTTCTCGGCCTTACATCTAAAGAATGGATGGAGATATTAAAATTCTATGTACGCCGTTGCTTTTAGCTTGAACGGGAAAGCTTAGTACAATTAATATAATAATTTAGTGCAAATATGACGCCTACATGATGGCGTCGCGATGTAAACATATTTTTTTAAACTGCAATGCACATATTTTTTAACGAATTTTAATATTACTGTTAAATTCTGATTAAAATGGTATACAACACTTAGATATTTATTTCATTTTCAGTTGATAAAATAATACAATTAGTAAACTTAAAAAAATTAAACTTGATTGTGAGCAACTGCAATGTACCAAATTGAGCTTTTGCCAGTGGCGTTCACCGAATTTTAATATCTCGACTCGTTAGATCAAAGGCAGCCATGGATTTCTAAGGGTTTGTCTTTGATCAACTCAAACTTTCAAGTTGATGGTAACCTGAGAAGACAAAGATTCTTCAAAGACAAATTTTAAAAATTCCAAGGCTCTCTTCGATTGTGTTGTTTACTGCTGTCTCGGTACTATGTAACTCGTAAAGAATTATCTGCAAACTATCAACCATACTGACAACAGGTACCAGGGAGTTAATTGAAACTGTTGTGGGCATGGTGGAACGCCAACCAAATCTTGTTCATTTGTCTCTTTCAAGAAACCAATGATATTTTCTCAAAAAATTGTAGAACTAAGATTTTCAATTCTGGATATTTATATCTATTTACCGATAGAACTTTAGGTTGAACCTTGATGGCACACGACGATCAGTGCTAGTTTATTCTAAAGCATTTTGTTTCCGGTTTCATGATATTGTTTTCAGCGTTATCGCATCCATGTTTAAAAACGTTTGCAACATGGATGATTAATTTTTAATCGTTGACTGTTTGCTTATAAACATGTATTGGTATAATTGTTGTTACTCTGTAAATAATCACAAATAAAATTTGATGACACGGTACAAATAACACCAATAAAATTACTAGACTAGTGTTAAATTACTTACGCCAAATATGGAAAATATCATGAAGGATAATTTAGCTTTTTAAATAAACAAAACCATTTTTAGGGTAAAAGGGGGCACACTTATTTACCAATGACCTTCCATTTTGGTTTATTTTTACAATTGTTTTTGAAGACTAGGCTTATAATATCTTATTTGAAAGGTGTCAACATGTGTAACACAATAGCATAATTACTTTGTAAGTAACGTTATGACATGGAATGTTTCTATGCTGTGTATAAAAAATTAAATTTCAAATAAATTTACAATTTGGAAAAGAAACTTAAAACAACACGTTACGTTTCTATTAGAACCAGTCAACTAGTACAAAAGTAGGTAATAGAAATACTACAAAAGCAGGATAATAATAAAAGATAATAATATTTGACACTTGAAAAATAATAACCATGTACTTATTTCAAACCAAATTGTGTTCTATTTTTTATTTTTTAAATTCTTATCAT